GGACTTTAAAAGCAAAAAAAAACACCCCAAAAATTACAACGCATGTGCAAAACCACACATATATGCATATATACACACAAAACACATACACAGAAAGGGGGAAGGAAGGAGAGAAGGAGGGAAAGAAGGAGGGAAGGAAGCAAAGAAGGAGAGAAGGAAGAAGGAGAGAGAAAGGAGAGAGGAAAGAGGAGAGAAAGAGGGAAAGAAAGAAGGGTAGAGAAGGAGAAGGGAGAGAGGAAGGAAGAAGGAAGGGAAGAAGGAAAGAAGAAAGAGGGAAAGGAAGAAGGTTAGAGAAGGAAGGAAATAAAAATGTGAAAGAAGGAAGGAAAGAGAGAGGGAAGGAAGGAAGGAAGGAGGAAGGAAGGAAGAAAAGGGAAGGAAGGAAGGAAGGAAAGGGGTGAAGTGATAAAATCCGGAGCGAACGCGATAGAGACTGAATGCCTGAGAGAAGACAGGGAAAAAGTAGGTAATTAAAGCAAGAAGTAAAGGATAGGTTGACTAAATAATAAGGCGGAAAGAGAAAGAAGGAGAGAAGGAAGGAAAGAAAGAAAGGTAGAGAAGGAAGGAAGGAAGGAAGGAAGAAGAGAGAGAAAGATAGAGGAGGAGGAGAGAAGGAAATAAAAAAGTGAAAGAGGGAAGGAGAGAAAGAACGAAAGAGGGAAGGAAGGAAAGAGACAAGGAAGGGTGGAACCAAGGAGCAAAGAAAGCGAGAAAAGAAACAGGTAGAGAAGGAAGAAAGGAGAAAGAAAAAGAGGGAGGGAAGGAGTGAAAGAAAGGAGAGAAAGAGGGAGGAAGGGTTGGTCACAGCAACGCGTGGCGGGTACAGCTAGTATAGCAAATAAATAAGAAATAAATATTTTTAATGCCAAGTTTCTGGGAAAAGGAAGGCTCCATCAGAAGGAGAAGGAGGAGGCTTATTGCTATTACACTTAAGAACAAACCTACAGCACTGATCTTGCTTGTCACTTGGGGAATGCCTGTATATAAAATTCTCTCTCTCTATATATAGATATATTACACATATATTTCTTTTTTGTTATTAATGGTTAGTTATTATAAGTTTATACCAATGTTGTTTTATTTATTGATTTGTTGTTTGGTTACTTTTCACTATGTTTGCTTGCAACATCGCTTAATATATACAATATCATAATAATATATAGAAGTAATAACACTGTAATGCAATACTGCTGGAGTACTGTATGCAATATTAATATTGTTGTAACATTATGTATTGTATATATTACAACTTATGATACGGTGTAATATACTATATGTAGTACTAATAGCATAATGAACTGGTGGTGTATTATATATACCTCACATATTACATGTGCTACAATATTATATTACAAAATAATAATGTATAATATAATATATACTACATATAATAACACTAGTAGTATTACAGTATAATGTGTTGTTTTTGATGTATATGTGGATTTGTTTTTGGGATTTGGAGGGTTTGTTCAGCTTCTCACACAACACTGAGGGCTTGCAAATAAAGTAGAAAAGTAATAATAATAATAATTATTATTATTATTATTGACATTGAATTTTGCCACTTTTGATGGAAACGGCCCCGAGTCCCTTCAGGAAGATAGGATGGGTTACAAATAGTCTTATTATTGTGTAGAAGGCTTTCATAGCTGGAATCACTGGGTTGCTGTGAGTTTTCCAGGCTGCCTGGCCATGTTTCAGCAGCATTCTCTCCCAACGTTTCACCCACATCTATGGCAGGCATCCTCAGAGGTTGTGAGGTCTGTTGGAACTAGGAAAATTGGGTTTATATCCCTGTGGAATGATGTCCAGGGTGGGAGAAAGAACTCTTGTCTGTTGGAGGCAAGTGTGAATGTTGCCATTGGCCATCTTGATTAGCACTGAATGGCCTTGTAGCTTCAAAGACTGGGGGAATCCTTGTTTGGGATTTGAGGTGTTAGCTGGCCCTGATTGATTCATGTCTGGAATTACCCTGCTTTCTCCCCTCAGACACATATTACTCCATATATTTATCTCACCCAAGGTTTTAACAATTTTATTCCATGCATGTGACCTACCCACTTTTTTTTTAACCTTTCCACCATTTTTGCTGCGTTTGTTTATTGTATACTTGTTATTGTTTGCATTTTAATTTGATATTATTGTATTTTAATTTGCTTTATTGTAATTTTTGGGCTTGGCCTCATGTTAGTCACCCCGAGTCTCCTTTGGGGAGATGGTGGCAGGGTAAATAAAGATTATTATTATTATTTTCTGAATGTTGCCTTTTATTTACTGAGGATGTCCTGCCATAGATGTTGGAGAAACGTCAGAAGAGAATGCTTCCAGGACACGGCCATACAGCTGAGGAAAACTGACAGCAATTGCAGACAGGAAACAATCAGGGCCAGCTAACACCTCATAGAATCATAGATTTGGAAGAGACCTTCTGGGCCATCCAGTCCAACCCCATTCTGCCAAGGAGCAGGAAAATTGCATTCAAAGCACCCCCGACAGATGGCCATCCAGCAACCTTCCGTGCAACCAAGGATTCCCCCAGGCAGGAAGCAGACAGACTTTGAAGCTGCAAGGCCATTCAATGCTAATCAAGCCCGCCAATGGCAACATTCACACATGCCTCTAACAGACAAAAGTTCTTTCTCCCACCCTGAACATCCTTTTACATGGAGATATATATAATATATAATACATATTATAAATATAAATATAATAACATATATATATTATATATAACATATAATATATAACATATATATAAATATATATATTACAGATATTATATATAATAATATATAATATATATAGTTAGGCCTTTTTTGTTTATGAGTTTTATTTTAATTGTTTATTGTTGTTGTTACTGCTTGTACTGATGTATTGTGGGCTCGGTCTCATGTAAGCCGCACTGAGTCCCTTGGGGAGATGGTAGCGGAGTCATTATGTTTGTCCATTCACCCATGCTGATTATGAAGCTGCAGTTATGATGGGATAATATAGACATGTTAATCTATATGAATAAAAATATAATGTTTGTTTGTGGGATTAACAGAACTCAAAAACCACTGGACGAATTGACACCAAATTTGGACACAAGATACCTAACGACCCAATGTATGTCCTTCACTCAAAAAAATGATTTTGTCATTTGGGAGTTGTAGTTGCTGGGATTTATAGTTCACCTACAATCAAAGAGCATTCTAAACTCCACCAACGATGGAATTGAACCAACTTAGCACACAGAACTCCCATGACCAACAGAAAATACTGGAAGGGTTTGGTGGGCAGTGTCCTTTGGTTTTGGAGTTGTAGTTCACCTACATCCAGAGAGCACTGTGGACTCAAACAATGATGGATCGGGACCAAACTCTACACGAATACTCAACATACCCAAATTTGAACATTGGTGGAGTTTGGGGAAAATAGAATCTTGACATCCGGGAGTTGTAGTTGCTGGGATTTATAGTTCACCTACAATCACAGAGCATTCTGAACCCCACCAACGAAAGAATTGGGCCAAACCTCCCACACAGAACCCCCATGTGGGCCACAACAACGCGTGGCAGGGGACAGCTAGTAAAATATAAAATATATAATACATATATGTGTATATATTCCACTTGCCTAATTTCCCTTCTTTATTCTTTCCCTTCCTTATTCCTTTTGGTGTTTTCCCCCCCTTTTCATATTGACATTGAATTCATATTTACTTTCTTAAACAAACTACTACTTTTGGATTCCTGATTGGTACTCAGGGTGAGGTGAGCTCTGACTGGGGTGCAACAGCCAGGCTTTGAAGCTGCAAGGCTATTCAGTGCCAATCAAGCTGGCCAATGGCAACATCCACACTTCCCTCGAGCAGGAAAGAGTTCTTTCTCCCACTCTGGACACTATTCCACGTGGATAGATAGATAGATAGATAGATAGATAGATAGAGGCTAGGTGAGCTCTGGCTGGGGTGCAACAGCCAGGCTTTGAAGCTGCAAGGCTATTCAGTGCCAATCAAGCTGGCCAATGGCAACATCCACACTTCCCTCGAGCAGGAAAGAGTTCTTTCTCCCACTCTGGACACTATTCCACGTGGATAGATAGATAGATAGATAGATAGATAGAGGCTAGGTGAGCTCTGGCTGGGGTGCAACAGCCAGGCTTTGAAGCTGCAAGGCTATTCAGTGCCAATCAAGCTGGCCAATGGCAACATCCACACTTCCCTCGAGCAGGAAAGAGTTCTTTCTCCCACTCTGGACACTATTCCACGTGGATAGATAGATAGATAGATAGATAGATAGATAGATAGATAGATAGATAGAGGCTAGGTGAGCTCTGGCTGGGGTGCAACAGCCAGGCTTTGAAGCTGCAAGGCTATTCAGTGCCAATCAAGCTGGCCAATTCACACTTCCCTCAAGCAGGCAAGAGTTCTTTCTCCCATCCTGGACTCTATTCCACTCTGCTTGCCTAGTTTCCAACAGACCTCCCAACCTCTGAGGATGCCTTTAGCCATAGATGTGGGCGAAATGTCAGGAGAGAATGCTTCTGGAGCATGGCCAGGCAGCTCAGAAAACCCACAGCAAGCCAGTCTTATTATTAGGTTGTTGTAGGTTTTTTTCGAGCTATATGGCCATGTTGTAGAGGCATTTTCTCCTGACGTTTCGCCTGCATCTTATTATTATTATTATTATTGTTGTTATGGGTCCCAACCTGGGTGCAGTGCAGGAAAGGGCCGCCAGGGGCCGCCCTCCTCGGATGCGCCTCTCTGCACGTAGCCTGGCAAGGAGGCCTCAAGGGCGACCCCGAGAGAGAGAGAGGAAGACACAAACACGTGTGAATCCCCCTCGACACGCGTGTTGGCCAAAAAAGGCGCGTTCCCACGTGCAGATGCGTGCACGGCGCCCGAAATTGAAAGAAGGGGACGAGGGGATGTCTGCAAAGGCGCCCCTCCCTCGCCCAACCCGTGTCCCCCTTCACAAAGTCCCAAACACGCGTGTCTCGTGTGAATGCGCCCGCACCTGAACTTCCGGAAGCGCTCCTTGTCGGCGTCGAAGAGTTGCCTCAGGACGAGCTGGGCGGCGTGGGCCTTGTGCCACTCCCGCAGCTTCTGGAAGGCCGCGTCGCTCGAGAGAGTCATGATGAACGAGAGACAGAAAAAGGAACGAAGAGGAGCAGCTCTGAGGAGAGACCGGCGCGGGAGGAAGCGGACGGCGCCGGCGGAGGCTTTTGAGGGCGGGATAGGGGGCGGGGTCAAGTCGGGACCGCCCTCTTTGGGGCGAGGAAATGAAGTCAATAGGCGTGGCTAAGTCCGATCCGCCCTCTTCGGGGCGTGGCTAGATCGGATCCGCCCTATTAGGAGCGAGGAAGGGAATCTAAGGGGCGTGGCCAGAGTCTGATCCTCTCTTTGGGGCGGGGAAATTTCCGAGAAAGAGGCGTGGTCAATACAAGCTCCACCCTCTTTGTGGGCGGGGAAAGGGAGGCGGTTCTCCTTCCTTCCTTCCGCCTCAAAAAGCAGGGCATTCCTCAGGTGCAATTAGGCCCCAACTACTGCCAACAGGGGCTCAACGGTCGTTAGGCCTCAACAGTTATTGTGAATGGCTCTCTGTGGCAGTGTCATGGCTGCCAATGGGCCTCCCCAATGATAGTTAGGCCGCAACTACTGAGAATGGGTCTCTAGGACAGTTAGGCCCAAACTATTGCAAAGAGGCTTCAGTGAGAGTTCGGCCCAAATTACTGTCCCATGGGCCTTCTCAACGATAGTAGGTCCCAGCTGATGAAGGCTTGATGAAAATACATAATACACATATTGGAAAATATATTTGATGTAACCATATTAGAAATA